GTTGGCCATTTGTATGTCTTCTTGGAAGACTGTGTATTTAGTTCCTTTACCCATTCTTTAATCTGGTTATTTGGGATTTTCTTTGCTGTTGAGTTGTAGGAGTTCCCTGTGTATTTTGTGTATTAACCCTTTGTCAAATAGATGGTTTACAAATATTTCCTCCCATTCTGTAGGTTGCCTTTCATTTTGTTGATTATTTTTCCTTTACCATAAGGAAGCTTTTTGGTTCAGTGTAGTCCCACTTGTCTATCTTTGCTTTTGTTGCCTATGTTTTTGGTGTCATGTCCAAGAAATCTTTGCCAAGACCAATGTCAAGGAGGTTTTCCCCTATGTTTTCTTGAAACTATAAGTTTTAAGTCTTACATTTAAGTCGTTACTCCATTTTTTACTTCATTTCTGCAGCAGTAGAAGATAAGGGTCCAGTTTATTTTTTTGCATGTGCATATCCAGTTTTCCCAGCACCATTTATTAAAGAGATTATCCTTTCCCCATCGGGCTTTCTTGGCACCTTGTCAAAGATCAGTTGACCAGACCTTGAGACCAAAGAGAAATGTAAAGATGCTGAGTGGCATTGTTTCACAATATAGGAGAGTAAAAGAAAAAGTAGTATTTCTTCATTAAAATGGGACTTTTCAATATTTCTCATCAAGTTAATTGACACTGTGTTGTAAGACTATGGACTCTGTCATCCATGTTGCCAAAAATTCACATGTTTAAATTGGCTATCAACATTTCTGGGCCATTTTCTCTGTGGGAAAATGGCAACTCTCCTTAAGAGTGTGGTGGCCTTCTACTTGGGCATGCACAGCACTTCACAGTTATCAGGAACCACTAATACTCTTCTGTAGCCTCTAAGGATTTCATAGTCCCTACACCACACATTCACCTGGTTTTCTAAGCCATGCAGCCCATTAGCATTTGGGGCATTAAAATCCCAAGGCCCCCTGCCCTAGAAGACCCAGTTTTGCCCAAGTTCCAGGTCCAGATTCCCAAGCAGTGACCTAGTGTTGGTTTTCTCTTCTAAAATGTTTTATACTTGCTTAAACACTGTTTGTACTCCTTTGCTTGATTTCCTGCCATGTTTTAGCCACTTTCTGTGGTATTCATACATCAAACTTGCCCCCTTTGTTTTAAATTGCTGTGGCGACCCATCTCTTTCCCTCTTCCTTCCTCCTGGTCTTACCCTTTGCATGCCCCAGTCCAACCCTCCTCCAATCCTACCTTCCAGCTATTTGCAAGCTCGGAAATCTCTACCCCCCCCCCACACACACACACACACGTATATAAAATCTCTTTTATCTCTTTTTTTTTTTTTTTTTTTTTTTTTTTTTACCTATGAGGAAACAAATTTATCAATGAATACATTCGAATTGCAGCAAGGTGGTTTTTTTCTAAGTGGCCACATTTCCCGGAAGCGTGACAGAACCTCTGTAGCATCAGCCAGCATCAATGGCAGAGTGAGAGCAACTCTGCCTCCCCAGTCCCAGGAGCTTAGCATCCCCCAGAAACTGCGGGAGCTCCTTTATCCTTCTGAGGCAGGGAAAGAGGGAATGAAGGAACTCCTATCCCGTATCTCCTAAATCCAGGATCACTTGGGCAGCATGCGAGTAAATATCATGGCTCTTGCCCTGTTACCTATGCGCACCTGCCTGGCTTCCCACTCAGCAATGGGGGGGGCGGATGCAAGTTGGGTCTTCTGCTCTCTGTCCCCAAGGCCCGTGCAGGACCCAGCACAGGTGGGGCCTCGATACACCTCAGAGCACCAGAGGGGACAGGCTGAGCTCTACCCTCAGGTAGTCCTGATATCTGGCTTTAAGCCACATATTTAACCTCTTAGGTTCTAGTTTTCTTGTCCATAAAATGGGATAATGAGACCTACCTCTTAGGATCCCTAGTAGGATTGAGTGGTGGAATTCAGCTCCTGGTCCCTCCTCTAAGAGTTCTTTCCTGACCAGCCTGCTTAGCACAATAGCTCCCTGGACCCTCCTACTCTGTCGATTCCTTCATAACATTCCCCACCCCTGGACTTGAGAGAAATATACTCATTTGCTTGCTTTTTGTTTTTCCTTGCAACTTTAAAGCAAGCAGGAGGTTTTGTCCACAGTGACCAACCATTATGCCCCCAATGCCTGGCAGATAGGAAGTGCAAGATAAATCTGTGTGTGATTGAAGTCTACAACATGATGGGAGGATGGATGGATGGGTGGATGGATGGGTGGAAGGAAGGAAGGAAGGAAAGAAAGAAAGAAGCAGAGAAAAGGCCAGACAGGCAAGTAATAAGTACATGGAGTCCATGCGAATACACAAACAACCATTGAGTTGTTGATATTCTAGATGCCAGGTTTTTTTTTTTAAGGCTTGCTGATCTTTTTTTATTTTTTTAAATTAATTAAAAAATGTTTTTTGATGTAGGGTTCCGATTCATTGTTTGCATATAACACCCTGTGCTCCATTCAATACATGCCCTCTTTAATACCCATCACCAGGCTAATCCATCCCCCCGCCCCCTCCCCTCTAGAACCCTCAGTTTGTTTCTCAGAGTCCATAGTGTCTCATGGCTCGTCTCCCCCTCCAATATCCCCCCCTTCATTTTTCCCTTCCTACTTTTTTTTTTTTAACATATAATGTATTATTTGTTTCAGAGGTACAGGTCTGTGATTCATCAGTCTTACACAATTCACAGCGCTCACCATAGCACATACCCTCCCCAATGTCTAACACCCAGCCACCCCATCCCTCCCACCCCCACCACTCCAGCAACCCTCAGTTTAAGATTAAGAATTCCTCATATTAGTGAGGTCATATAATACATGTCTTTCTCTGATTGACTTATTTCGCTCAGCATAATACCCTCCAGTTCCATCCACGTCGTTGCAAATGGCAAGATTTTGGGTTTTTTGATGGCTGCATAATATTGCATTGTGTGTGTGTGTGTGTGTATCTCACATCTTCTTTATACATTCATCTGTCGATGGACATCTTGGTTCTTTCCATAGTTTGGCTATTGTGGGCATTGCTGCTATAAACAGCTTCGGATCACTACATTTGTATCTTTGGGGTAAATACCCAGTACTGTAACTGCTGGGTCGTAGGGTAGCTCTATTTTCAACTTTTTGAGGAACCTCCATGCTGTTTTCCAGAGAGGCTGCACCAGCTTGCATTCCCTCCAACAGTGTAAGAGGGTTCCCCTTTCTCCATAGATGCCAGTTTTTCTAAAACTGATCAATTAGATCCAGGTATTTTGATCAACGTACCATCAAACAGGACTGATTTAAGTTCAAAGTACAGGCTCAACACTGAGACTCACCCTCGCCATCCTCCCGCCTCCAGTGGGTAGATGAACAAGAATAAGATGGAAGAAATGGATCCGTAGTAGTCAGAAGCTGCGTGTGTCAGTTCTGTAATCATGCTGCAAACAGAAAAGGGAATCTGGAGGGCCAGGAAGGGAGTCTGATGCTGCGGAGCCAGACCCTCACCTTTTTCCATGACCGAGAATTGTGTCCAGTTGTGGTAATGTCCTTAAAAATGAGTTTGGAGAGACCTCTCAATATAGCTTTTAAACAAACAAATGGGGGGGGGGGCAGGGTCCCTGGGTGGCTCAGTCATTAGGTGTCTGCCTTCGGCTCAGGTCATGATCCCAGGGTCCTGGGATCGAGCCCCACATCGGGCTCCCTGCTCAGCGGGGAGTCTACTTGTCCCTTTGCTCCTCCCCCACTTGTGCTCTCTCTCTCTGTCTCTCAAATAAATAAATAAAATCTTAGAATAGGAAAATGAGAGGTTAAGGACTCAGGTAGCTCACTGCAGAAGTTAATGGCGGAACACACTGCCCATCCCAATTCTTGCAAGGGTTTTGTTCGGTTTGATTTGTCTGTTGTTTTTTAAATGAGATGCTATTCATGTCTGCTCCTGCCTGATAAAGAGGAATCAGGTGCAGGTTAACGAAAGAGACATTTTTAGAAATAAGAACATCTTCTGTTCCCTTGCCCATCGTCAGACTGGTATCTTAGATAAGTCAGTTGTCACCTTGGAAAGCAAATGGAGCTTCCCCAGAGTTGGGTACAGAGAAGGGCGAGGGACAGAGTGAGCTCTGGAGAGTGGGCATCCTGGCAGCTGGAAGTGATATCAGAAGGAGCACCCACCTGGACGCCAGTGTAGGGAAGAAGGTAGGCCAAGATCACACCACAAGGCACAGCTCATTCCGAAGAGTATGGACCATTTTCCTGCATTTCCCATATCTTCGACACGTGCCACTATGCATAGGATCCAAGAACCCTCCAAAGCTTTGGCAGTGCAAACCCCAAAGCACACGTTCGCTCTTTCCCTGGCCGAAAGATGTGCTAAAAATGGCCGTGTCCTGAGCTCTCTGGCTCCCATGTGCCTCTCTACCGGGCACTGTCATTCTGTGCAAAATGAATATTGGGGTTTATGCCTCCCTGGTCTCCTCGCCAACATAGGCACGAACTGAAGCTAGTGTTTGTTCTTACAGGGAGCTTTACAGGACTGAAAATGTTGTGTAAGATCTCTGTGTTGCTTGTTTGTTCTCTCTGTCTCTCTGTCTCTCTCTCTCTGCATCCCCACATAGTCATCATTATTCCTTGGAGCCTGCTCTAGCTTGCACTTTCTCACCAGAATGGTGCGAGATGCTCTTAAAGTAAGCAAGCTCCCCTGTCCATGCGGCCAGCTAGCCACCTCCTTTCTGTGCTGGGTCAGATCTGGTCCCACAGCCAGGCCACATCTCCTGAGAGGCTGCACACACCCTGGGCCCGGATAGCTGCCCTAGAGAAGAGTGAGCTATGAAATGCAGGCTTTACTGTGAGCGAAGCCGGGAGAGGCTGCTAGGCTGCCACTGGTCAGCTCATACCAGGAGTCAGCCAAGATGCAGGCATGATTTCTCTGCACACCGAACACATCTCCCCTTAACCTGCAAGCCCAGGGCTGTTGAACAGCAAATACTAAAAACACTTGCAGGAGGTAAACGTGCTGCTTTGCTTCTGTTTCAGGTGCTAAACCTGCCCCCGGGATCTGCTTCGAGAGAGTCAACTCTGCAGGTGACCCTTATGGCAACTGTGGCAAAGACTCTAAGAGTTCCTTTGCCAAATGCGAGATGAGGTATGGAACCCACAACCTGAGCACACCATCACTTTGAACTTCCTACGCGGCTCAGGGCCGGTTCCAAACTTGCCCTCTTTGGGGACTGTTTGTTCTCGCCCTTCCAGAGATGCTAAATGCGGAAAAATCCAGTGTCAAGGAGGGGCCAGCAGGCCCGTCATTGGTACCAATGCTGTTTCCATAGAAACGAATATCCCACTGCAGGAAGGAGGTCGAATTCTGTGCCGCGGGACCCACGTGTACTTGGGCGATGACCTGCCAGACCCCGGGCTTGTGCTTGCTGGCACCAAGTGTGCAGATGGAAAAGTAAGACCCAAAAGTTCATTCGCATCATAAATGTAAGTCTGGAAGGGGGCCTGCTGAGAAACGTCCTGTCCAAGAACTGACTTAGGAGGTTTGTTTGTTTTCCTAAATCCACTCCTTCCTAGAACTTTGTCTCTGGAATCCAGTTCTTTTGCACCTAGAAGGCAAAGTTAATAAATCCTAGATCCTGGCCTGACCATTGAGATGCAGATTTGGGGAAATCAAGCTTGGTTTCTCAGCCTTTAAGTGTTAATAAGTCATTTCTACACTCTGGGTGTCATGAGTGTTTCCAGCCAGGAAGTTACTTTGGAAGGAAACACAGTAGCATATGATATTGTTTTTGGAAATGTGGCCTTGGTTTTTGGCCCAGTGACAGCTTGTTCTCACCTGGGCAGAACGGGAAGTCAGATGTATTTTCAGAGACCCCCATAGAGAGAATAGGAGAGGGGAAGAGAGAGGATCAGCTTGAAGCCAAAGGGAGGTCTTTTGGAGACCAGCGGGAAAGGTAGACGGAGATATTTGGGGGTTTAGAAAGAAAGTCAAAAATGAAAAAACAAGAAACTGAGTTGTTTTTTTTTTTTAACATTCTGCCACGTTGATTTTTCTCACCAAACTTTCTCATCAGGCTGAATGAAAGCAAGTTAATAAAACATTTTAGGAAAGAGGATTAATCAACCCCCACATGCTTTTTTTTAGGACGCCCCCCATTAAAATGATTATGAAATCACTCACGTACATGGAGGTTACAGAGTAGAATAGAAAGATAGATTCACCTCCTTGAGCAGAGTCCCCAGGGCAAGAATTCTGTACCGTCACCCCTGTCCCCCCGTATACTCTGAGGTGCAAGTGCCTCATCCCAAAGAAAATGGGATGATGATACGTGAAACACGATATACGTTCCGGGGGTCTCCTTAACCACACACGTTAGCTTCTCTTCAGGCCTTGACATTAGAATAACACTCATTTTTTAAGCTGTAGTCTGAACAGCCAGAAGCCAGAACCAGGTGCATCTGAACACCGAAATTCCAAGGGCTCAATTTATCAATGAGTTTTTTTCTCCGTGTGCAAGATTAAATGTGCTTTGATCTCCATCCCTGCAGACCACGGGTTCTTTGAAGGCCGTCCTTGGCATTGCTCGTGGGTTGGGAGGAGAGCAGCACCCATATGCTGGGATTCTGACCGGGGTCCTGCTGTGTTCTCTGTAACCTCCGTTTCTTTTGTCAGCTGGAATGTGACAGTCCCCTTGGCCGAGATTCCCGGCAGCCCTGGGAGTTGTTCTGGGCAAGGGCAGCTGGCACTTTTTTCAAAGTGTGTCACTAGTGTGAACTTCCCATAGGAAGGTTCCACTCGATTAGAAATGCTTCTGCAATCTAAAAATTAGACTTCTCTTCCTCTGACTCCACTCATTTGTAACATCTTACGGGAGATAAAGGGCCTGATCCTTTGAGTCGGGAGTATATTAGGCACCTTTAAAATGAGACTAAACTCTTACAACCAGCCCAGTATCATTTAGCAAATTACTTCCTCCTCAAAGACCTGATAAACACAAGGGAACTGTGTGTTTTCCTCTGCTGAGCATTTCTGTTAATGGTGTGTGTCATCGATGATAATTTGGAAAAGTTCCCATATTTCGGTATCTCCTTTAAAAGGTTCTTGGGCCTTGGATTCTTGGAGTCTTTGATTCTGCACAGGCCCCAGGCTAAGGGCTGGTGCATTTCTCCTCTCCTGTATCTTTTAATGGAAAGGGCAGGTGGGGGCCCGTGGGCAGACAGGGGGGAGATGCTGCAATTCACAGGTTTCGTTGCAAGCTCTAAACAAAAATCAGTTATCGTGATCTCATAACTGACTGAAACCATATGAAGCACCATGTGACTTGAGTCACATTGACCTGAGTCTTGAAATCTGGAGGCAGGCATCCGGATCCAGGTCGGAGTCAAATGGAGAGCCCATCATTGTGCTGCATCCATAGGAGCTGAAAGAAGATCGTCTTCTTCAAACTTCTCTTTGCTTTCCCTTTTTAAATCATAGAGACTGTGCATGCGGTTGGAAAGGGGCTGAGAAATTGACTGTTTTCCTCCTTCTGCAGATCTGCCTCAATCGTCGGTGTCAAAACATAAGCGTCTTCGGTGTTCATGAATGTGTGATGCGATGCCATCAGAGAGGGGTGAGCCGGCTGAACTGCCTTTTTATAGCCAGTCCCTATCAAGCTAAGCGCTAAATCATTCATTTGTAAAGGATTCTGCAATCCATAACTTTTAAAAATCTAGCAGTTGCTTCAGTGTTTTCTTCTAAAGACACTAATTTTCTTTGACCTTTACATAGCATGAGTAATGTGACTTTTATTTAACAAAGAAAAACAGATTGTGCAGTAATTATCTTTCAGATTAACATCCTGTGATTGTTACAAAGGGACTTTGTCATCTTCAAAGTAATTTTAAAACTAACCTTCCTGCGTAAAGGATTTTGCATTAACGTTTCAAACAGAGCTGTCCCTCTTTCAACCAAGATTCAGAGTATGTGTCTGAACTGAAATCCTTCCAAAAGGATATAAAACAAAGGAGACAGAACATACTGACCACATGTTCTTGAAATCACATACAATGCATTTCAACTAAAGAAGCCTGTTATTTTAGTCCAGAGAATTTTTTTTAGGAGAGAAGAGGACTCTAATTGTTTAAAACATAATTTATTTTTCCTGATGGACTTAATTATTTCCAATGGAATCATATTAATCTTGATTAACCATGCCGGTGGTTCATTTGTTTTTCTGAAACTTTTCTGCAGTAATCATGCTCCGAATTCTATTTTTAAAACTCACAGACACTCGCCAATGATTCTAACATAGAATTATGGGGGTTTTAATAAAATGGTTATTACGCCGTAACCATGAAGGATTGCAATGGCATCTCTCGACAGGTTTGTATAGCTGACTGTCAGTATAAAATGAAATCTTCTTATGTCTTTGTTAGATCATAGATTTCTTTTTAATGGCCCAAAGAGATGATCCGGTGCAGCCTTATTATGAAGGAGCCCAGGACCAAGAGGTGGTAGTTCCTGTCCGAGGTTACATGACCAGTTAGTGGGAATGCTGGGGTGGGGACCCTGGACGCCTCACTTTGCAGCATCCCTGGGCTCCCATCCACGTGTTGGAGAGGAAAGGCCCACATTGTCTGGGTAGGCAGAACAGCTGCCGTGACTTGGTGACGAGTCACTTGACCACAGGCCTTCCCCGAGTCAGACCAGGCTCACCAGCAGTGCCTCCAAAAGGGGTGGCGGGGCTGCAGTCTCTCAGCTGCCAGAGGCCAAAGGGCGCATGACTCCGGTTTGCATTGGGAGACCGTGCCAAACGGTGTGGGCCGCACAGAGCCAAACCCTGGCAGGTGCCTGGCGGGTGGTATGTCGGCCGCAACGCCTCTGAGAAACAGGCAAGACGCTCAGCTTCGGCACAGCTTATGCCACTCGGTAATCAATGCTGCGTGGGCTTCAGCATTATGGGAATATACTTTCCAACTTGTCACAGGTTATCTGGACTGTCGGTCTTATTTTAGGCAATTGGGGCTTTTGATGGTTGAGTCATCAAAAAAAAAAAAATCAGTGGAAGCAGGAAAACATCACCAATGAGACATCTACTCTAAACATTTTATTTTTGCTTTAAAATATAAGATATGTATTTGGCCCCACCCGGCAATATTCAGATGCAGGGCTGAGGCCTTTGGGGTGGGTGTCCTGACCGTAGCTCTGCTCTGACTTCCTTATATAAACCACGCAAAGCGCATCATCTACGATGTATAGTTTGCTTCTTTAAGTGGAAGAGAAACTCGGACACTCAGAAGGAACCCGAGTACAGAATCCTTCCTAGTTTGTGCAGCTCTTCCTGGGCATTCACAGGCATCCCACCCGTTCCAGATGGGTCAGAAGTTCTTTTTAGCGACTTGCCCATATCCAGTGTTCCCAAAGCATGCCCCCCAGTTTTCAGAGAGATAATGTCCTCTTGTTTTCGTGCTCATATTCCACTGGTTCATGCAGGGGCTCCGTAAGTTCCATAGATAGTAACAGCGAGTCTAACAGCCGACTCAGGCTGGGGAGCAGCCTCCTTCGGTCACCCTTGCTAACCAGGTGAGCCGAGCTGGCCCCGCTCTGGAGGGCTCTCGTCTCCAAGCTAGGCTACTCGCTCAGGGCCCTCCAGAACAAAGCCCATCCTCCTGCTTTCTCAGCACCCTTTCCTGTCACCAGGACACCAGGGTTTGGTAGGCCGTGGCCAGCGTGCAGGGCCGGGAGCCAAGGAAGGGCCACTGGGGGCCTGCCCGAGGGAGGCGGGCGTCTCAGGCATGTGATGTCGGGAGCAGGTCAGCCAGCCTCTCCGAGCTTTGGCACAGCTTATGCCACTCGGTAATCTGTCTGCAGGAGGCAGGGCTGCGCCCAGAGGTTGTCAGGCCCGTGATGGCCGAGGGCTCCGATTCCACAGCCCTGAAGCCGGGTCGCTCCTCACCATCGAGAGGGCTTCTCATTGTGGTCAGATGGCGGGCAGGGGTCGGGGGGAGGAATCCTGACTTGAAAAAGAGGACACAGTAATTGACGGAGAAAGAAAGGGGTGGGAGGCAGTGGAAGACCCCCCAAAATCTCCATCACTCCCTTAACAGCTGCTGACAGGCAGATTATGTTACATTTGCAGCCTCAGGCTCTGGTCCCACCCGTGTGGTGCTGTGTTTCGGGTTTACGCTCACAGTGGCCTGTCTGTATCTGGCGGTGTCAGCGCTGACGGGGACGCTGACCACAGGGCCTTTGCTTTGGTCTGGCAGCCAATTAGAGCTCAAAGATTTACTGCCGCCCCACATGGAGGGTGGGCTCTAATGTTGCGTCTCTCTCGATGTCCCCCTCCCCTGTGGCCCGGACAGGTGTGTAACAACCGGAAGAACTGCCACTGTGAGGCCCACTGGGCGCCTCCCTTCTGTGACAAGTTTGGCTTCGGGGGAAGCACAGACAGCGGCCCTGTCCGGCGAGCAGGTGCGTGGGGACAGCGCATCCCCGGGAGTGGGCGCTGAGCGACTGGGGGGCCGTGGGTAGTCAGGCACGGTCCTTCCAAGCAAGACGGAGGGCTCACCAGCTGCCAAGGGGATGCAGGTGTACCCCCCCAGTGGGAACCCTAGTGCACCCCCACGAGGGCCTGACACCATCCAAGGCCTGTTTCCAGACACTGTCCCGTCCTGACCTCTGCTGAGACTCCTTGCTCTGCTCTGGCTGAGAGGCTGACTCTGTCCCTTCTTCACCTGCGACGCTTTGCTTAGCTAAGGTCATTTCAACAGCGGACTGCCAATTGGGTATGAACTTCGGTGAGGGGCGAAAGGACTTTGTAAAGCCCAGCCTTGGTGCCCTGGGGACCAAGAGGTGTGATGCCGAATGTCTCCTAAAACCCTTACTAGGGAGACACGTCCTCCAAGCCCAGGTGAATGGTCCCAGAGGCAGCGGTGGTAAAATCAACCGCTTTTGTTTACTGAGCGGTTGTCCTGTGCAGTCACCATGCTGGGTATTCCTTCTGCATGATCTCATCAGATCCTTGCCCAACTCCCAAGTCACTATTACCCTTCCTTCTTTACGTATAAAGGACCTGGGGCTCAGGGAAGGTAAGTAACTTACCCGAAGTCACACAGCTAAGATTGAGACCAAGTCCATCTCCCCCTAAAAAGAGTCCTCATAGCAGCTGTGCTTGACCCCCCTTCTTTTCTCCCCGGACGACCTGGAGGAATGGTCTCCTGGTGCATTGCCGTTTTATCTGAGCGTTTGTCAGGCAGTGAAGGGCCAAGTCTGAAGGATGTCCCTTGTAAAGGGAAAGAAACACATCAAAAAGGTGCAGGGGGCCAGCGCCGAGCCCACTTGTCCTGACACCTCGGTGCTCACCTGAGCCCCATGACGCGCAGATGCCCAGACGGTGGCTCATGCTGCTATGGAGGACGTCACGTGTCTCACGTCCTGCTGTGACGTGCAGTGGGTCACCACGTCTCCAAGACGACAGACCTAACACTGCTCTGCGGGGCCAGGCGGTGAGGGCAGAGCTGGGGAGGGGGGACCTGCCCCGCGGGCACATCTGTATAAAGTGTCGTGAGTTCCCGATCATCCCTCCATTTAAATAGGGACGGGTCTCAGCGTCGCTCTCAGAGACTCGGGGCGACCCCTCCCTCGGGTCCGGGCCCCACAGCAAGTACAAAAAGGACCAGAAAGTCTTGCTGTCTAGTGAGTGTTCCTTCTGGGGGTAGGAAGACAAGGGCCGGCCCCGCGTCCCCTTTCCTCGCCGGCGTCTGCACCCTGAGCACGGCGTCCCTGCTGCCCCGTGGCTAATGCTTGGGGACGGCGTGAAGTGTGTGCCGGGCACAACTAGCAGGATTCTAGCTTCTGCTCGGGCAGGGGCACCGCCACCCATTCCCCCCGCATCGAGTCAGCTGGGTGGCGCCCGAGGGGTTGGAGGGGACTGGCCAGTATGCACTGGTACTGGCCGTGGTACTGAGCTGTGGGGGCTTCACAGAAGGCAGGGGATCCGCAGTTGCCAGTTCTTCACTGTAGCAGGTAAGAATCGTTACAGCAATGAAAACGAGCTGCCGTTACTGCATGAAAGGACATTGAAACGCACGCCGAAGCGGCAGGTGTGGGGAGCTGGGTGCTGGGCCTCCCTGCCCCCACCGCCCGCCAGCCTGACCATGACTTCTCGAGCACCTGCCACGTGCCGGCCACTGTGCCCCAGAGACACGGAGCAGACCTAGCGTGGCCCAGCAAAACGCTGCCAGGGGAGGGGCGACAGTGGGACTCAGGGAGGTGGGCCAACGTGGGGAGCTGCACAGGACACGGTGTTCGCACCGCATGAGGGGACCAAGGGACCCCGGTTTGCTGGCTCGAGCAGCTTGATGGCATGTCCTGCAACGGATGAAGGCAAGTGGCCCGGGAGGTGCAGCCAAGTTCATTCTGGAGGCCTAGGTAATGTCCGGTTGGATACATTGATCGGCCTAAGACTTACGGATTGATTGCGAGGAACTAGAAATTGTGGTTCAGGCCGCGTGCTGCTCACTTTTTTCGTTAGCTGTGTTAAGACACAACAGAGCTCTAGCCAGAGCCCCCGGCTGAAAAGAATGACCCAGAAGCGGGGCTTTTCCAGTAACACTAACAAGGGAATCACGACTGTCATATGTTGATTGTCTTACTTAGGCTGAGACACGTCCCGGATAGGACTTGTCAGTTGGGGACGAAGTCCAGAAACAGAGAGGGTGTGAGGCGTTCTTTCCCAGAGCAGGAGCGCTGCTGCCCTGGCCTGGCGGGCAGCCCGCTGAGCATCGTGGCCAGCGATGGCGGTGGGGAGGCCTGGGGGGGGCAGCGGGACCTGCACAGCCACCCCCAGCAGCCTGAGGGGACTGTGGCCCTCCTGCTAGGGGCGGCACATCCTGCTTGTTGCTGGCAGGGAAACAGAGACCCGCGAACTCCCATCTATGCTCTCAAGGACTCCGCAGAGCCGTGGGGGTTGCATATCTAGCTCCTCTCTAGCCTGGCAGACTCCTCTCCGGGACTCTTTCTGTGGTCAGAAACCAGGCTGAAGTTTTGATTTTCCCTTCTTTTCCACACCCTTGAGGGAGTCTCAGTGTCCTTGTACTGAATAAAATGGGAGCAAATCACAGAAAAGGGGATGTTCCTCTGGAGAAAATAAACAGCACCCTCCCAGAGAACGGGGTTTGCCCCCCAAAGCTTGTATTTTGAGGCCCTAACCTAACAAACAGAGCGAAACCTAACAAAACCAAATCTGTGGGCCTTTCCTTTTAGCTATGAGTTTTGTTGGGTCTTTTTCTCACCTTCTATTTTGACAATGTCCAGAAGTAAATTCTTGGGCTAAAAAAAATACAAAAAAACAAAACAAACACAGATCGCAGTGCTCAAGAATGAGAGGAGGAGGACGCAGGGAGGAGCATATTTGTGATGGGGGCTAGAGAGGTCACAGTCCGGGGACATGCCAGCCTCCTGCCACCCTCTGTGGCCACCATCCCCGTGGGGCAGTCGGGGGGGCCGGGGGCCGCATGTGGTCAGGACTATGGTCCCACCTGATGGACGACGTTCCTGTTTATCAAGAGTTGTCAGAAGTGCATGATGGCGACACAGACTGAACCTCAGGCATGACCTTTGAAGTATGACTAATTAATCAGTACATCATTTGGGGATTTACTCATTCCATCTCTGTTCCTTCCTTCAAAGCTCGCGTTGCCATAAATGTCATGATCTGATACGTCCCGTATTTCATTATAACTGCCTCTCTGCCTGAGCAAAATGCGTTTCTGTTTCAGATCACCAAGGTCTAACCATAGGAATTCTGGTGACCATCCTGTGTCTTCTTGCTGCTGGATTTGCAGTTTATCTCAAAAGGAAGACATTAATACACCTGCTGTTTACAGATAAAAAAACCACCATTGAAAAGCTAAGGTACCCTGGGTTTGGGTCATTTCTGCAGAAGTGGCATTTGAAAGAATGCACAGCCAACTGCTTCTCGCTTCATTTTCCTTAGCAAAGAAAGAGGTCGGCTTTTTAGATAGTAAAACGGTTGTTCTGTTTTTTTAAAATCTCTGCCAGACCAGCTGCCTCCTTCCTTTCCCTTCAAACTGTTTGCTGCTTATTATATAAATAAGCAGGGTGCTGATGGGTCCCACTGATGGATTTGTTCCCACCCTTCTATTAGTAATTTTTACAAGACATGGGATGTTAAAATAGTTTCGTCAGATGGGCTAGCTTTTGATCCAAATAGATTCAAAGACGTTCTTGCTGAAATACCAGCTTTCTACAAAACGTCTCCCAGGTGTCTCAGACCCACATGTCTGTGGATTGCAAGAACTAATTTCACAGAATAGTGGCTCTGGCGGGGGGGTGGGGGTAGGTGGGTGAGAATCAATTTTTATTTTTAATCCCGTAAGAATGTTAGATAATTTTTCCTTTGCATGTTTACCATATTGAGTTAAAATAAGTCAATTATTTTTTGAGCGTGATTGTGAACAAAACAGAAAAAGTGAAGTCAGCCAGAGGGGAAATGCGCTTGTTTACTGTGACGGGATTGTGTTGCAGGTGTGTGCACCCTTCAAGGCCATCCCGCGGCTCCCACCCGGGTCAGGCTCACCTCAGCCACCTCAGCAAAGGCCTGATGAGGAAGCCGTCACATTCCAACATGTCGAAGGTAAGTTGTCGACAAATGTGAGAAGTTCGTGTGCTCATTGCAACACAGGTTTTTCAACAAGAGCTCGAGTTGGAATAGATTGTTCATAGTAGGAATAGATCCCTGAAATGCAGAGTCCACCCACTTTGTGAAGGATGGTCAGGGGTGGAAGGAGGCCCACTCTGCCCCATGGAAGCTCTACTAAATCCAGTTGGGGCAGTGTCCCCTGTGTGATGTGGCATGTGGTACGTGGTGGGCCATGATCCCTCCAAGCACCCAGACAGACCAAATTCCCAGGAGGCCCACTGGGTCTGCCTCCCAAGCAGGTTCCTGGCTCTGGGCCCCTCCTATGGTTTCAGATGCCACCAGCAAGTTTTGGATCATCTTCTTTGGCCCTGTATCTCCCAGTGCCTTTCTCAGAGTTACACTGAGCCCATGCATGGGTCCCTTTTGCTCCAGCTCTGGGTTGCGGAAGCTCTGTCTACCCTACCCTATGGTTTCAAAGAGCCAGATCCTTAACCCAAAGTACCTGCTGGCTCCCTCCTGGCTCTAAACTTTCCTGCTTCCTCGTGAATTATCACCAGAGTCCACTCCAATATTTAGTTTTCCTCATCAAGTGTTTCTGCTATATGCGTGAGAATTTTTGAATATTGGACTCATTCAACAAGGGTCCAACTTGTAACAGTGACAGTATTGGGATCAAGAAGTGACAAATGATTTTAAAAATGACTATTCACATATTTACTAAACCATGAACTATTTTATCTCCCTTGATATAAAAAGTATAGAGGATTGGATTCCTAATAAGCTTTACCACCTCTCAGCCCCAAACGTGGGGCTATATACAAGAACAGCTAGATTTATTTATGAGAGCCAAAAATGCAGCTTTATTTCGAAGAGCCAAAAAATGGGAAATGACCCAAATTTCCATCAACAGGTAAAAGGATAAACAAACTTTGGTATATTTACACAATGGAATGCTATTCAGCAATAAGAGAGAATGAACTATTAATATATACAACATCATGGATGAATCTCAAGATAATTATGCCAAGTAAAAGAAGCCAGACCAAAAAAAAAAAGTCCATACTCTATGATTCCATTTATATGTAATTCTAGAAAATGCAAACTACAGTGACAAAAAGCAGATCTGTAGTTGCAAGGAAGGGGAGGCAAGGAGGAGTGGAATGGGAGGGAAGGGTGACGGTGGATATGTGTTCATTATCTTACTTATTGTGATGGTTTCATTGGTGTGGACACATGTCAAAATTTTCCACTCCATCCAGTTTCAGTATGTGCAATTAGCCATCTGTCCGTGGAACCTCAATAAAGCTGTTTTTAGAAAGAGAGAAAGGAAGAAAAGAGGGAGGGTCGGGGGCATGAGGCATCTGTTCTGACCTGCCCAAAAAGCAGGGGCACCATGTAGGAGGCGACCCTTCAGGCTCAGACCCCTCATCTCGGCTGGCTTCCAGAAGTCTACATCCTCCTTGCCAGGGGTTTCCTTGGTTCTCACTGAGCCTGGAGGGCATCACCCTCCGCCTCAGTTCACAACTCCTCCATCCTTTCCTTAAGATCTGGTCTGTGTCATCATACTCTTTGGCACTTGCCCAGGTGCCCTGTGCCTATTTGTTGATGAATTAAACCAGTTTTTAAAATTCCCATAGAAACCAATCCCGCTATTCCAGATTGGGTTGGAAGGGTGTTCCTGCTCCAGCTGTGAAGTTTAAACAAATAAGGATAGACTCCCCCTCGTGGAAATGCACGACGAGTCAGCACCACCCCCTTGAGGAGTGGTAGGACCCACGACACTGGTTTTTGCTCTGTCCCTGCAGGACAATACCAGGAGGTGGCCCCCGTGTCAGAACGTTGACATCAGTGGGCCCCTCCAAGCCCATGATGCCCCTGTGACTGGTTCACCTCAGCGAGTGCTCCCGCCCCTCCAGAAGGCTCCTCGCGCACCCCTCGTCCCCGCCAGACCCCTGCCGGCCAACCCTGCCCTCCGGCAGGCCCAGGTATGCCCTCCGCAGTTAATGTGATGGATGTCGTTCAAGTCCAGACCCTGCCACCTGCTGACGTCTAGTTGGTCCACTTGCCGCAGCCTCCGTACGATGCAGATAATTCAGCTCTTCAGGTGGTTAAGTGAGATAAGCCAAGTAAAGCATTAGTACAGTGCTCCATGTATAGTCACGATAGGTGTGTTTTATCGGGAATATTTTGCATTCGGAATAGCCAGGGCACCCGCCCAACTTACCACCTAATCCATGATACTCTTGAGAATGACAGGGGTATAGCCAGTAGTGAGGCCCAGACAATAAAAATGGTCACCTCAGGGGGCGCCTGGGTGGCTCAGTCGGTGAAGCGTCTGCCTTCGGCTCAGGTCCTGATCCCAGGGTCCTAGGATCGAGCCCCGCATCGGGCTCCCTGCTCAGCGGGGAGTCTGCTTCTCCCTCTCCCACACCCCCTGCTTGTGTGCTCTCTCTCTCTCTCTCTCAAATAAATAAAATCTTTAAAAACAAAAAAGGAAGGTCACCTCAGGAATATTAGTGGGCATACTTTCTTACCCTTTTTTCATTTTCAAAATTATTCACAAGAATTTTACCATCCATTGAGTCTCCATACCAGATGCGGCATAGTATTGGATCCTCAGTATCTATCCTCTATCTCATTTTTATGCTGTTCCAGAAGTTAACAGTTCCTATTTGTTAGACCATGAATAAGACATCATTTCACAATAAGAAACTTAAGGTGGGCAGGCAGTAAAAATAAGCACATGCAAAACACAGAGAAATAATCCCTGGTAATTTTTCACTGCTATCATGGTCACACTTCTAGCAATTTTTGTATTTAAGAATTGCATGTGTATTTTTAACATAATTTAGATTATTCTGTATGCACATTACTTTATATACTACTTTTTTGCCCTAAAATCATTCCTATTTACCACAGCACTAAAAACTCTTAAACATGTCACTTTAACAATAGCACTATATATCTATGTAGAATACATTTTTAAGCACTTGCCAATTAGTGGGCAAGTATGGACGTCTCTAATTTCTGCTATTATAAATAGCTCTGTTGTGAAGGTCTAGACAGATAAATTTTGGAACACTTTAATTATTCCCTTAGGAGATACTCCTAAAAGTGAAAGTATTCGGTTGAAAAGTGCTGTAACCCTTTTAAGCCTCTTAATATATAAATTAAATATTTTTTCAGGACTCCTATGTATATTTATGTTTCCACATTATTACAGAGCATCTGTCTCTTCATGACTTTGCTAGCTTTAAGTATTACCATTTCAAAGCTTTGCCAATTTGATATTTTAAAAAATCTCATTTTTTCTGTCTAGCAGTTCCATCACTTACTCAAAGGGGATGTTGATGTTTTCAACAATGAATGTGTCTCTTTTCAGTCCATCAGTTTTTCCTTCATGTATTTTGAAGCTCTGGTGTTTGTGGTACACAGAGTTGAGATTGTGTTTTCTTGGTGAATGGACCGTTTTATCATTATGTCCTAGCCCTCTTTAGTTCTGGTAATTCTCTTTGTTCTGAAGTATACTTTATCTCATACTCATATATCTACTTCAGTTTTCTTTTGATTCGTGTTTGTAAGGTGTGTCTTTTCCCACCTTTCTACTCTTACCTTACCTGTGTCGTCATATTGAAAATGAGTTTCTCGGAGACCACTTGTAGCTGGGTCATCCATTCTGCCAATCACTGTCTTTTAATAGGTGTGTTTAGATCATTTACTTTTAATGCAATTAAAATGGTGTGTTAGAATTTGTCTACCATTTTAATATTGTTTGTTCCCTCTGATTTTTGTTTATTGTGCTCCCCTTTCCTGAATTCCTATAGGTTAGTTGAACATTTTTTGGAATTCCCTGTTGATTAATCTATGGTGGTTTTGAGATACGTCTTTGTATAGTTTGCCATAGGGCAGGGTTTCTCAACCTCAGCATTGTCAGCATTTGGGGCTGGATAACGCCTTGTTATATGGGACTGTCCTGTGCATTGTAGAATGTTTAGCAGCATCTTGGTTTCTACCAACTAGATGGCAGTTGCACATGGAACCATGTCTCCGAGCATTGCCAGATGCCCCAGGTGGACAAAATCACGTGACTGAAAAACTCCTGCTCTAAAGATTACACCATATGCGCGTAATTTATTACAGTCTACTAGTATCAGTACGTTATCAATTCAAGTGGAATGTAAAAACATTACCACCTTTGAGATCTCTTTATTCTTCCCCCTTTATCACATAGATGTCTTAAGTGATACCTTTATGTGCATTGAGAACCACTTTAGATGCTATAATTTTGCTTTCAACCATGAAGCAAGACGTGTTCAAAATCAAGTCTTAAAACTTAAGAGTGGTCTGCTACATCTACTCACATATCCACCCTTTCTCATCTTCCATTCCTGATACTCTGAGTTTCTTTTTGTTATCATTTCCTTTCTGTCTGAGAAACATTAGCTATTTTGTTAAAGCAGGTCCACTGGTGACAAGTTCTTTTGGTTCTCCTTCATCCAAAGATGTCTATTTCACCTTTGTTCCTGAAGGATATTTTCCCTGGATATAGAATTCTGGGTTGACTGTTCTTTCAACATTTAAAAAATGTTGTTCCATTTCCTTCTGGCCTCTGTGGCGATGAGGAATCCACCAAAAAGTTCAGCCCACAGTCTCTGTTCCAGGGAAGAGATGTGGCCTGTTACTGTAAGCAGGATTGGGAAGCAGGGATCTGCCATCTCCAGGATGTGGTGACCAGTTGGGGATGGAGGGGATGGCTTTTTCTGGTACCCACCTGGAACTGGAGTAAGGTCAGGTATGGTCAAGATGTTTCTCCTTATTGAGGCACACTGTTCCCCATCTATTGGCTGCAGACGGAAGGCTTTCCTTGGGCCTCCTTTGGCTCTGGTGCCATTGGCATTTCCAGATTGAGAGCCTCTCCAGAGCACAGGCCAAGATATAAAAATGGCAGAAACAAAAATAAGAATTCACTATTGGAAAGCCTCTTGAGTTCTGAGGTCCACAGCCAGTCCATTTATTTTTCTCCAACTTTCAGAGTCTCTGTTGCTTCATGGATTTGCTCCAGACTTTTTTGTTGTAATTTGCATGAGGTATAGGTTGAAGAGTGCTTATTCCATCTTTTCCAGAGCTCATTTCTTTTTTTATTTCTCTGATTAATGGTACATTTGAACTGCTCTTTATATTATCTACTAACCAATGGTATAACATTAAATTGGCCATCAAAAACACAAAACAAAACAAAAAAAGCCTTGATTCGTCAATGATTTCTCTGCTGTAAAAACTCCCACCATGGCCAATTTCAGGCTATCAATGTAATGTCACTAAACAAGGAGTAGAGAATTGGCCGACATGAGCTAGTACCAGCCAGCTCCAGCATATAGCTGCTGTTAACTGTATTTGTTCTATGAATTGTTCCTACCTTTGGCCTACGTTTTTCTATTTGAGAGAGAGTTGTTCTTCCCAATTTGTAAGAGTTCATTTTCTTATTAAGAGCATTTACCCTTTTCCAGTAATTTATGTAAACATTTCCCTAATTTACCTTTTAATTTTATTTATGATATTTTGGGGTATAAAAGGAATTCCAGTTTTACATATTAAATTTATTCACCTTTTGTGTGAATTCTCCCATTTTCTTTGTGTTTGCAAAGTCCCCTTCCATTTCAATATCAGTCAAGATCTACCTCTAGTTTCTTCTGTTTATTTTACTGGCTGTTGAGAGTTCTTTTACAATTGTTTTTCTAACCTGTCTTGGATTTACAATGGGGGAAGGCAGTGGGCATGTCCTAAACTTATCTGGGTGATGGACTTACTCGAGAATCTGATGAAAGCTATGAACCTCAGAAAATGCACCAGTACTCAATACTTTGCATGCAAATTTCAGATATCCGCAGAGCCTGCCATCCTCTTCCCCGTGGATTCCCCCATGCTGGGGCTTCTGATGTCTCTCTTTAAGCAACTCGCCTATGCACCATGTCAAATTGGGACTGTCTTTAACAGACTATGGGATCTGAGGCAAAATATTTTCACTTGCTAGTATCTTTTTTTCCTGACAACAGCAAATGCCTACAGAAGTCATTCCTTCAAGATTTCCTTCAAAAACAGCCCCCAAAAAAGGCCTTCATTCTGTTTTATGAAACGAAGGAAATGTTACCCTTTAAACATTAGGAACTGAAAAATCCACATTTCTCACTCCAGGCTGGTGTCTGTCTGGAGCTTTTCCGAGACATATGATACAGATTAGGCTCGTGCTTTCTCTCCCATCGCACATAGAGGACTGAAATTAATTCCATGCAGGTATGGTGAATATGTGGAGGTGGCTCTTACTTGGCAGCATAGATTGAATCCACGGACATCATGCACTTTCGAGTCCCCATGCCCTGCCCCCCACAACCTGACAAGCACACAGCTACATGGCTAGCCGTGCTTCATTCGTCCAGGCTTACCATCCAAACCTTCCAGAAGGAAAACGTTATCGTAGACATGATACATACCTTACATCGAAAGGTTAAAAGTTAGTTCTTTATAGAAAACATTTGATCTTTCCATCAAATGTTCTATTTGATTTATACAAATCGAGGACGCTTGAATCCGGTCCCTCTCTTGTCCACAGATGTCCCCTTCCTGGGTGCCATTTCCTTCATGATGAAATGACCCTTGGAATGCAAGCTTCTCAACCTAACTCCTCAGCCTCGATCAAGGAAACAAACTTTCGTTTCCTTTTCATCCTGCCAACTACCTTAGAGGAAACTTAATGCAGTGTGTTCATCTGGCTGTTAGTTGACTCCTCCCAAGTTCCCCCAGAGCATGAGAGGCAGAAGGCAGGCTTAGGAACAGGATAGTGGAAGGAGGACGGGGGGTCACAGAGGCATGTGACCACCTACAATTGTGTGCTTGTGTCAACAGGGAGCATCACAGAATGCCACACTCTGTGTGGCATCGACTGTGTCTGAGGGAACACGCACTTGGGGGCGTGGGGGGCAAGGTTCAG